ATTTTTCTAGTTTGCTAGATAATGTAATGTTTTTTTTCAAGGCTTAATTGCTCAGAAAAAACCTTTCCTGTGTCATATTTTCTACCCTAAAATAAAATATATTTTTGGCTTCATTAATAACCTGTACAGTTTTGACTTTGGGGAACTAATTGATTACATTTATATTCTATTAAATTATGATCTAGAAACAGCTGAGCACTCTTAATAGATTTTCCAACATTACAGGAAAAGACAAAGACTAGTAGAGCTTGGACAAGTAGATAAAATGAGATGTTGGTGATAAGTGTTTTCAGTGGTCTTGTGACTGCCAGGCCCATTCTACTTCAGACCTTTTAAAGCAATTTAAGGTATCTGGATTTTATTCGGACTGCCAAGAGTGAAAATATGCACATACTGCAAATTAGTATTACATACCAAAATTCTAATTGGGATGTAAATATTTTACACATTTACATAATTCCCAAAATTGTGTATAGCAAATATTTGTGTGGTCAATTGATACCTCATTATACCTTTAGAAGAAAAATGTTTCCATGGAAAGACATATATAATAAATATCACACTTAGAACTGTCAGTTACGCTTTCAGAAGCATCCTATGTTTTTCATCGCCCAGTCTCTGTGCGTGTAATTCTTTGAAATAAGAACTGCAAAGTGTAGCCTTATAAAATTGCAGTATAATTACAAAGATTGTCTGGGAACATAACATCCCTTCTGATAGTAAGTGTCTGACCTAATTACAGGTTTGTAACAAAGAACTCTAACTTCCTTTCAACTCATATAAAGACCATTTATGGTATTAAGTGGACCAATGGGGATCTCTGAGTTTTCGGGAGATTTTTTTAATTTTTGTATTTGTTAATTGGAAATATGAAGGACAGGGCGTAATAGTAAGCTATTATTATTTTTAAGTGTGAAAATGTGCCAAACAGACATTTATTATCTTTTATTTGCAACAGAGAGTGTAGACCCACAGATTATGTTTTAGAGGTGTTGGGACTTCATAGATCATCTCCAGACGCTTTGTTCAATACAGTGAAGAAGCCAAGACCCAGCAAGGTTAAATGGCTCGTCCAAGGCCACACAGCCAGTTACTGTCGAACCTCATAATCGGGTCTGTTATTAAAAGATGGATATGGATTGTGTTAGTGGCACATTTAAACATTTGACAACACTCCCAAGCAGGAAATGTTTCCTTGTATTTAAAATAAATCACTGACTTCCTCTTATTACATACTTGGACGAGATGGAGAACAGCTGGTGCCTGTAATTCTACTTCTCTTATAACGTCATTATTTCTCATCATTTAATTATCATTTTTCCTGATCCTCTCCCACAATGCCTTGCACATGAGGATCACGTTTGTTTGTTTTGTTTTTTTTTTTGTTTTTTTTTAACCACAGCAGTACATTTCTAAAGGACGCTTGGTATAAGATTCCTAGAACTGACTACACAGTTGGCAAGTCCCTTTGTTAAAAAATTATTAAGAATTTTCAAGATGGCAATGACAGAGCGTTAAACCACATGTGGGACTACCTGCCTGAAACAGGTCGTGTGCCCCTCATAGTTCCAGATGTTTTGCCTGAAATTTTCTTCTTCAAAGATTAATATGGAAACTATGCTTAAATATTTTGATATACAAAGAGATTAATATTTTCTTATAAAACAAGATGATTTTCAGTCTTTCTCTGTTAATGGGTTTCTCCTAGTAATATTGTGGAAGCTCTTCCTGAGATTTCTTGAGGAAGAATGCTAGAATCGCAAAACTGAGAAATTGGCGGTGCATGGTCTACCCAGAATTGTAGTGTCTAGAGTGCAGGAACTAAGTTACTCAGTTGAGTCCAAAAAATTGGTCCAAAAAAATTCAATGTCTGCTATATAACTGGCTTTGGTTTTGGGCATTGAACTTGTAGAAGGCTGTTTGAAGATTAGTTTTTAGAAAGGTATTTTTATTAAGGTGTGTCTACTTTCCCAAAATTTTTGAGTGGAAACAGCTTGTATCAGCCTCTTTTATATTAATATAAATCACTTATGTGGTGACACAAATGTGTTTTACCAGCTATGTTGAAGTTTACCTAAATGAAATGCTGGTAATCTTTTTTACGTGTGAGAATATAATCTGATGTTTATATATATATTTTGTATGTAAATTGATTAGCATTTTGTTACATCTGATTTTTCTGTTTGAATAATGTCTACTGCTCATTTGAATGATGTTGATAAAGGTAGAAGATGCACTTTTAAAATAAATAACATTTGAAGATTGGCATAGAGAAAAGACTAGCCTACTTATTAAAAAAAAGACCAAACAAAAGTACTTCCAAGTGATTAAGCATACCTGAGTGTTAAGTTTTGCCTGCTCATAAATTTTTATATACTTTATTTTCAAGTATAAAAAAGTTGCAATTCTATTCATAACATAAATATGGTAAAAGAGCCATATACACAATCTTTCATTTATATGTAAACACATTGACACTAACCCTTAGAAATTTTGGCTGTATAATGTATCATTTTCTTAAAAACTTACTACATAATGCATGTACATTTTTTATTTTTACATGATGGCATTAGATACTTTTCTAATCTGAAGCTAAATATTTATATAGGGCTATCTTTTGGGGGAGAAATAGGATTTTTGAACAGTAATGCTATTTGGCTAGAGAATAAACTTTAAAAGATATGTGTTTATTAGAATAAGTTTTAGGAGAAGGTTGTGGTTCTTTTTTTAATACAGTGGCATTATGAAGTTCCTGCTTTGTAGTGCTAATATAAATTTTACCAATAGTAAAAGGAATTCAAATTTTCCTTGCCTTTTCGCTGTTCATCCTTTTTAAAGAGATAGCCAACAGTGCCACCATCAGAACAGACAGGCTCTTCTCATTGGAAGTGTCGATTTTCTCAAAAAAAAAAAAAAAAAAAAATCCCTATATTTAAGAAATGGTTGAGAATCACATATCTTTAAAGAGACACTTTTAAAAACTAATAGGAAATACCAATGAATAATAAAACTGCCTTTATTTTTTGACAAAATTAAATTCATAATACTGTGCTTCAAAGGCCTGTTGGTAATTTGGATATTTAACTCTTGCCAGGCTATTCTAAGTAGCATTAATTGATGTCAGTTTGTCGTCATCATCTTTAATTTGTTACAAGTGACAGTCTCAAAGAATATAAAAACATGAAAATAATTAGATCATCTTGGTCTGAGAACATCTTCCCTAATGCGCATTTTAAGGGCAATTCTTTCATTATACCCTTTCCTTTATATTTGATTTATTTTTTATAATGGGATTTAAAAAGTAAGCTGCCAAGTAAATTATAATTATGATGATTTCAGAATGTATATTAAAGCATAATTTTTTTTCATGGTCTGATACTTACACGATGCGGTGTATTTACTTTTGAATGAAAAGAAGCCCAGTGCCCGTCTTCCTGTTGACATCAAACAGTCCTCTGATATGCTAATCCAGCATCGGGGAGAGCACAGGCACAGACTTTATCTGGACTCCTTCCAAGTCTGAAAGAAAATTATGTGCAAAGAACTGATTTTGCGGCTTTGCCCCCCTTCAAATGAAAACTGATTTTGACACAGTCTGTAATTAAAAAAACTTAGTATTGAAACATGATATGGGAGGTTTTCAACATTTTAGTAAGACCCTGATTTGCTTCCTAATTACCTGATCATCTGATTGTTATTCTTTGGGATGTGTTACTAATTCAATAGCTATTGCAATTGCTAATAAGTTTATTTCCATAGTAGGTGGTATAGTAAAGATTAACCTAAGATGATCAGCTTTTCCTCAAAGACTTATATATACCCTACATACATTGAGTGCATACGAGACAGTAGACATAATCTTTTGCTGAGTAGAAGGTAGGGATATAAGCAGTTTTCCTTGTACCATTTTTCCTTTCAGCCTGCCCTCAACTGGTCACAGGTGTAAAAATTGAGAGGTAGCTGTTTTGGAATTTTCTGTAGCATAGTTTCTCCATATTCAATAACAAAATTCAAATTGGACTTCTCAAAATACCTCCAGATAAATTGCATGAAAGCACATATTTAAATTTTGATATGTATTAATAAATATGTATATGTTTTAAAACAATTAAAATTATCAGAAAATTTCATGAAAACCTGTTTAAATGCAATTTTTTTAATGTTGGTCATTTATAAATATTGTTGAAAAGGAAACCAATTGCATTTTTGTTTTTGAAAAATAATTTTTATATAATGAATCTTTGTTAAGTCTTATGAAACCAAGAACTTTGTTCTTGCGTGAGTATATTATTAGTATAGTGTTTTAGCAAATTTAATATAGAAAAATGTATCTCTGGCTTTGCTGTTACTTTGGGAATTGCCCTCTTATGTATAGTGGACCACTCTGTCCTACGTAACCTGTTGGTGCTCTGTGCTTTTTGCCCTGGCCTTCTTGAAAGGTTCTTTTTCCATAAAGTTTAGTTTCATTCGTTCAAAGCCAAGTGCAAGTTTGACTGCAACATTGGATAGAAATATTCCTGAAAACTTTTTACATAAATCTTTTATTTATTTAATTTTTAATAAACTGTGATATTTCAAATCACCAGGGTGGTTCAATATTTAAAAGGAGTTCTATAGTGAAATCTTCTGCCAGGAGAAGAATTGTCTTTTATTGAACATAATTAACTACGGGTTTCTAGACTTTTTTATTTTGGCTTTTCTTGAAATGAAATTTGACATCTTCCTTTTAAGACAAGAAATTATTTTATATAGATGTTAATTTTTTGAAATAGTTGGACATCACATAGCGTTACGTGGCTTGTGCTAACCTTAGGTATAATAGGAAGAAACTTAAGCTATTGTGTCAGATAAAATTCTTCAGTATAAAAGATTGTACACTTTTTAGTTGATTATAAGTAGGTAAAATTAGGTGTTTTTCTGACTTACAGATTTTTTGCATCTCAGAATCTATTCTTAAGAAATTTTAGTTTCATGATTCTTATTTTTAATTTTTCAAAAAGCATTTTAAGAAGCAAAAGAGGCTAATTCCCGAGAGAACTGTCTGGAAGTACTTTGTTCAGCTGTGCAGTGCACTGGAACACATGCATTCTCGAAGAGTCATGCACAGAGGTGAGATAAAATCATTAAGGACTTTTAGTGTTGTTATAAAGGGTAGAAGTAATTAAGCAATTTAAAATAAATGTCTTCCAGGGATTATATGGTATCATGCTTTCTCAAGTAATTTATTTCCAAATTATAATTTTGCTAGAGTGATAAACCTTCAAGTAAAGCCCTAGTTGGTTTTAAATGAGAATGAAAATTATTTTTCTGCTTGATTCTTATGAGCATATTACCAGTCATGTTGATATAGAAAAAAAGGAGAGCGGTTGAATATGCGTAAGGTAGGGTATTTTTTTTGTTTGCTTTTTGCAAATGAACAATGTATATCATGGCCACTTAGATTTTTAACCTTCAGTATTGGCTCTTAATATATTCTTGATTATTAGCCAAATCGTTGGGCAGAGTGTGTTAAGGTTATATCACTATGTAATTGATCCACTGATTTGGGGGTATGAAAATTTTTATTACAATTTATATAAGCAGTTAAGATTTCTAAAGCCATCTAAGTAAATAATTATATGTCTAAAAGTGTTGTCATGATTTTGTATTTTATGTAAATATACCAACAAATTAATCTTTAGTAAGATATTTTATTTAAAATTGCTATAAAAAGGACACAGATTTATTTTGTGCTTCGAGTTTCACAAAGGGTTATTTCAAAATGGAAAACAAAATGCGTTTTAAATGGAAACTAATGGTAATCTTTGTCATACTACATTGATTATCTGTCAGAGAATTGAGAACTTTGAAATATTAGAATGTATCAAAATTATTGAAAATAAAGTAATTGGTTTATAATTCTAACTTTCACGTTCAAGATACACTCTAAATTCTGCCATGAAAAATAGTTCTTAATCCCTTCAAAATTCCTAACGTTACATCATCTTTCACCTGATCCCTTCGTTTATTCGCAGATATAAAACCAGCTAATGTATTCATCACAGCCACTGGGGTGGTCAAACTGGGAGACCTTGGACTTGGCCGGTTTTTCAGCTCTAAAACCACAGCTGCACATTCTTTAGGTAAGAGACACAGTAGAATTTCTTTCAGCTACTTTTTGTCGTGGTTAAAAACGTAAGGGATGCACCAGTCGTATGCCAGGTCTCACATTCTTAATAAAACTATTTAAGAAATCATCAGGTCCGGAGCAGATACCTGCAACTCTCTACCAGGTATAACGTGTCCCCTCACGTGGCAATTGGGTGCTTCCCTGAACTTGAGCTCACGCCGACACCGGGTTAAAAAAATGCTGGTACACCTGGTTTAATGATTGCCACGGAGCATTCTTTTTATTCCACCTTTAACAGTGGTAAGGTAAGATGGTGACTAAAATGTGTTTTGGAAGAGGACTTCACCCGGCCGTTAAAAAAAATACTATGATAGTTTGTAAATGTTTATTTATTTTAATAAAATCACATATGGTTATAAGAATTGCAGAGGGGAAACCCTAAAGATGATCTATAACTAATGAGGAAAATGTTCTCTTAAATTATAAAGTAGAATAAATATCTGTAGTTTATTCATTTTAGAATTAATAATATAGCAGTTTCCTTTGTCCCTAAAATAGAATTGATGTAGCTATAACAACATCACATTGACAAGGGAAAAAAGTTGTCCGGCTTAGAAACAGTAGGAATTTCTAGGAGGAAATAATATTTAAATGGAATAGCTTAAAGAGAGTGATAGAGATTCTCTAAAAACTCTTCAAGTCCTATTTTCTCGTTTAAATTGAAGGCTTATATAAAATGGTGACAACCAGAAGAAAGTAAAAATTAAGGCAAAAATAAGTTGGCTTTAATTTCATGGTGCTCATCTTTTGTATTGTAATTTCATTGAAAGCCACTGATTTTTTGATAAAATTGTTGTTAAATGTGAAATAAAAAACTTTTAAACGGCTTGACAAGGAATAAATGAATTACACTAAATAACAAAGTAGTGAAATGGGCATCTGAATTAGTTGGCGAGCGATTTTTTAAGTTTTTATGGCTTTGTTACTAAGGTTCTGTGTGGCCTTGAACCGGTCATTTAATTTTTCTGTATCGGGAACAGTGCCTGGTACACAAGCAGAGGCCCGAGCAGCACTCACCGAATTACGGAATAGTGTGTCCTGGTTTAGAGAGCGGTGGAAAAACTGTGCTTTGTGCTTTTCATGGATTTCAATTTTGTCAGGTTCTTTGAGAACATAAAACTTCACACTGATGCTGACTGACATTGCTTTTTTGTCTTTTTCTTTACTTTCACAGAGCATTACAACTTTTTCTAAAATTTGACATGGAATTCCATAAATGCATACATTTGTCCAGCACTTTAGTAGAGTTTTATCTGGGAAATTATAACTCTTGCAATACAAACAGTGAAAGATTTCTGTGAAGAAAACCTTAGACTGTTCTAAGCCAGTGCCATTTATCACTGGTAAAGATACCTGTGACATGTTTTGACTTTATGTTACTTACCTGAATGGAATGTTGATCATTAATTTACTTAGAAATGCTAGGTCACAGTTCTGGACACGCTATAGCATATGCCTGTGCGTGCACATGTGTGTCATGTACATGCTGCTTTGCACACTTTCACTCTGAGCATACTGAAGTCATCTAGCCCAAAGGATATAGCGTATTATATGAAACCTAGATCTGAACAGTTTTGGAAACGAATGTCTTTAGCTTGCCTGACTGCATTGCAAAAGTTCTAAACAGAATTTACAAACATATGTGCGTCTCCAAATTTAGGTGATGTGCTCGTCCAAATTATGTGATATGGAGAGTAAAATTAATTTCAATAGATTTATTAATGTATTAAGAATTTCTAATATGAAGTTTTATCAAAATTAACTCTCTTAGGGTTATGCAGTTATATATATATATCTATAACATACATGGTGATGCCCATGATGCTCTGCATTCAAAGACACACCTGAGATAGTGCCTGTGGAGAAGTGCAAATGAGACTATTTCCTTAATGGTGGATGAATCAATAGGAAAGTAATTTCTTTCACATGCATTTTTGTTTTACATACTGTTTTGAGGAAAAAAAAATCCTTAAAATATGAACATTTCTTTTATCCCTGCTTGTCTTCTCTGTGAAGTGAAGATCTTAATGGTTTAAAACTAACGTTCACTAAGCAAAGTTCATTGATCACCGAGAATTAAAGTTTGAACTCTAGCCTGCTAAAGCTCTTTGGGCCCAAGAAAAATGCTATTTAAAAGAGTTAAGAAATATTCTCTGCTAACACAGAATATATATATGACATAACAAGGGTAGAAATTGACATAGACTTCTTTTTGTTGACAAGTTGGCCCTAATTATTACTTTTAAAGAATTATTACTGTCCTATGTTAATTGTCATATTTTTTAAGAGCAAATTTAAGTTTCCTTCTAAGATTTGGTACTGAAGTAATTGAAAATATGACAACCTATGCAAATTTATTTTGCTTATAAAAAACATGTTAGAACTACAGGGTTTTTTGTATGTTGATTCTTTTTTTTTTATTTTACTGAGGATGAAATCTGTAGGGCATGATTTATCTGTAAAGCAGGTCTCAATTTTAGTGGAACTACAAATAATTGAGATCTGTGTGTAGTTCATAAAGAAAAATCTGAGTAAGTTTACTCTAAATGATGTTTATCCTGGAGCCAAATTTCTTTTAATTTTGGATAGGAGATGTTTTCAGGAATTTCATTTTAAAATGAAAGGATATATAGGATTTTAGAAACATCTTCTTATAGTTATGCATTTATACTTTTTTCAAAATACATTTTTTTGTAAAAATTCAAATAAAGATACTATTTTAACTTATTTTGATTCATTAATAGGAAATGCACTTTCAAAAAACATTTTGTATTTAACAGTCCTTAAGAGAGTGACACATCTTTGCATGTTTCAATTGTCCGTTCATTTGCGTCTCTTATTTGTATCATTTGATTCAATGATAACAAATCAAGATGCCATAAAATCTGTAGTTCTTATCTAGCAATAAAGTTGTATAGACGACCAGGTTTCCAATCAGTTTTCAGAACCAATTCTTCAAAGTAAGACAACGTAGCATAGTATTAATTCTTTTAATGGAGAATTAAAAATTACAAATGCTAAGTCTTGTTGCTGGGTGTTCAGATGATCAAAACTGAAAAAAACCTCGGAGAACTTCACCTTTTTTTTTTTTTTTTCTCGTCCCTCTCTGGTGCCGCCACGTACGTTGTCTCAAAATATCTCTCCTTTCCCTTCTCTATTCCTTATTCCATGATAACGTCATGTTTGGACTGGGAACGTACCCTCTTTTGTTTCTAATATTATTTTTCTTTAATCCATTCTGTGTATTCCAATTAGAATTATCTCCTCAAAACCGTTATCTGATTATGTTACTTTCCCCCAAATCTTTGATGGTTCCCTGTTGTCTGAAGAATGTCATAAACAAGCCTCTGGCCTGGCATTCAGGGCCCTCCAGAGTTTGGTGTCCTCGAACTTCCCACTGGTGCTGACTGTACCTCCCACCTTGTTACGTCCTGCTGTGTTTTTCCTCTTGCTTTACTCTGAACGTGAGAAACAGCATGATGTTGTGGCAAGAAGGGAGAAAACCTGGATTTGCATGCCCATCACTGTAGGACCTTGATCAAGCCATTTATTAACTTATCAAAAACTCGGTTTCTGGATTTATAAAAATAGAAATGTGGGTAGTATCCATCCTATGTCGTCCCTTAACCCCTAATCAGTCCCCAACCAAATAACACAAGGAACGTAAAAGTGTTTCCTTAACATTGTAACAGACTGTATAATGTTAAATTGCTTATGTGAAAATGGCAATAGCGGTGGTAGGGAAGTTGCAGGAAAAAAAGAGGCGAAGAAGGTAAGGGCTTCTCTATTTGTACTTTATGCTTTCAAAAATTCTTGAGTTGATCCATTCAGAAACAGTTTTTGTACCTGTTTCACACAGGTGCTATTCTAGGGACAAGGAATAGAGCCTAAATAAGACAAGTCCTCGTCTCCAGGGAGCCTGCCTTGTGGTGGGCAGAAATAGACAACAATAATAAAGCAACAAAGAAACGAGATGAACTGTTAGTGACGTGGCCGAGCCCGGCTAGCAGTGGGTTGATTCAAGAAGGGAGAGGCGGGGCAAGTCCCGGAGGAGGTGATGTTTGGGCTGATGAAGGAGCAGAAGAGCCAGCTGCGGAGTGACCTTGGGCTGATGGAGGAGGGTGCATGCAAAGGGGCCGACGCAGGACAAGCTCTGCCTGCAGAGGTTTGCTGGCCGCAGTGCGGGAAGGGGCGGGGCCGGGTGCAGGAGGAACCCAGGTTTTATTCTGAGTGCAGTGGCGACTCCCACAAGGTTGCCATGAGAAGAGTGACATGATCCGAGTCGAAGACCGCAGCCGTGAACCTCTTCATCTTCTTCCGGCTAAGCGTGTCCAGGGTGGACGATCAGGAGAGACAAATCGAACTGTTTCCAGGTTTTCCTGCGACCTGGGAGTCCTCGTCTTTCCCTCTCAGTGCCCCTTTCTTAGTATGTGCTGCCTGAACTGAGCAGAATGCATGTAGCACGTCGAAGCTCATCAGCCCATAGAACAGAAGTTTATCGCTGCCTGTGATCGTGATCTGTGCAGTTCTTCGGGTGTTTGTTTTCTTTTTTGTCCCCTCTTCTCCCCTCTTTGTTTTGTACATTAACTTCAGTAAGATTTTTATCTGGTGCTTTTGAATTGATTGGGATGGGGGTGTGGCCAGGAGGACTAATCATAGGATGCTACACATACCGCTAAGAATTCTGCCTTATTTTCTTTCATATTTGTCAAGCTTATAAATGTAACAGATGTTAGGAAACCTGTTATCTGTACCCACATGGTTAAAATATATGATGAGGATACAGCTCTTCCTTGAATCAAGCTTCCTGATAGTCTAGGTCACTGGCTTTCAAATTTCTTGACAGTGACCCCCAGCAACAGTGTGACCCATGGGGACGTAATCATGTATGACTGAAGCAAGGTTTCATGAACAGTGTTTTCCATTATAACCACAGCACGTTCTTATGTTTTC